AAAATTTTTTTGCTGCTTTTTGAGCTTTCTCAATCTTGTACCCTAAAACCACAGCAACAAAGACAAAGCTTAAAAACATCTATTTCTTTTCAAAACCCGCTTACTTTTCTCTCATTACTAGAATTCCCTAAAAGAAATCTGAATCTCACTGGGTTCATTAATTCTCCAAGTAAATACAGAAGGTAAGAGAATGCAGCACACAGTTGTCTCAGATCTTCATTATGTTAATTTCTGAGAGGCTGAGCAACTGTTCAGAGGGCTTAGACTTCAGACATTCTTCACAGTAGGTGCATGGCTTCCTGGCCTCTCCCATCCCCAGATGCCCAGGCGCCAGGCAGAACTGCAAAAGCCCCAAGGCACATGCTACTTGCATTAGTGCAGATAAAATCCCACCCCAAGTCACACTGGCACAAAGAAGGGGTCTGTGGAGCAAGGTCGTGAGGTTGATCCTTCCAGAAGGCCCAAGCCTTCACATCAGTGTCCCCTCTGACCCCTGGCCACCTGTCTTTAACAATAAAACCCACATGACTGTGTGCTGTTTGCACTGTGTCCTGGGAGAATGGAGGAGGTACTGAGTAGCAGTGGTCTGGCTGTGTAAAGAAGGACTTTATTATCAATCACCGACTAAGTACCAGGCATTATAAACATGTGGATATCAATGTTCCTATTTCATAGGTAAGTCACTCAGAACACTAAAGTGGTATGTCAAGTCTCATTGCGAACAGGGACAAAAAGGATCTGTGCCCAGGCCTGAAGCAACCAATGTTGCTTGTGAAAGAATTCTTTGAAGTAACAATGAGCGGCTGCCCTTGCCTCGCTCTCCCCACACACCTGCCACTGCCCATCCCAAAATGGGGGTAATAGACAAGACCCCCAAATTACCCAAAACTAGCAGGAACAAAGTTGAGGAGAAAGAGAAAGGGGACATATTTGTATATAAATATGTACATGATTACATATTGTCTCTCTTTCCCGAACTTAGTTACAAACAATTCTGTTAATAAATTCTCCACGGAATGGCTGGGAACATCAATTCCCCTTGCCTAGAAATGTGACTCATATGGTATTTACTGTTTTTTAAAAAAATATCCTTTTAAATTTTACTTATTTATTTTTTAGAGAGAGGGGAAGGGAGGGAGAAAGAGAGGCAGTGAAACATGGATGCCAGAGATAAACACTGATCATTTGGGTTGCCTCTCCTACGTGCCCTGACTGGGGATGGAACAGCAACCTGGGCTCCGTAAGTCAAACTCAGCAGCAGAACTGCAAACTCCCTGCCCCAGGATGTTAGGCATTTTAAACTTCATTGCTGAGTTAGCAGTACTCCCATGAGCAAACACAAGCTCAAGTCACCCCACAGGCCACTACCCACTCCAACATAGGGGGGGGGGGGAACTCCAAAGGAGACACAGAAGTGAGCCTCAGCAGCCAAACAGACGCCGAGACTGAAGACTTGGGAAGGAGGGAAAGGAACCAGCGGGGCTGGAGGAGCCAGCTACAAACAGGTACCCTGGACCTTGGAGAGTAAGTTAAGGAAGAAAGCCCCAAGACTCAGCCTAAGCCCCTGGCTGGTGTGGCTCAGTGGACTGAGTGCCCCTTTGATTCCCAGTCAAGGGCATATGCCTGGGTTTTGGGGCAGGTCCCTAGCTGGGGGCCTGTGAGAGGCAACCGATGGATGTCTTTCTCACATATTGATATTTCTCTCCCTTTCCCCCCTCCCACTTCCCCAATCTCTAAAAGTAAATAAATTTAAAAAAACACAACAACAACAAAAAAGACTCGGCCTCAGCTTTTCCAGTTACGGGCCTTGCTACAACTACAGTGAAAGCTGCTTGAGCTTTTCTATGACAAAATAAGGCAGAATTTCTCCCTCATGGGGAGAAAGCAGAAGCTAGAGAAACTTGCCACCATCCTAATTCTTAGGGATGGCCAACTACAGGAACTCGTTCAGTTGCACATTTGAGAAGACAACCCCAGGCATTCATCATCCTCTCCCTGAAAAGAAAGGGACATCGGGTCCCATGGAAAACAGAAAAGGTCCCAAAGGTCCTGACTCCCCAAAAGGGCCTGTGGGTCACTCTGAGCTTTGGAAGAGTCTGCCTCCACCCTCTCATTTCACACTGGAAGGTTATGGGGGACGCCTGTTCCCTTGGCTTTTCCCACCCAACCCCAAAACCCACGGTACAACCTCCTAGCAATGGGGCAACCCCCTCACATGGGGCTGCAATAAATGGCATTCTCTGGCTAAACTGGTATTTTCTTTTTTACTTTATTACACACAACCCCATTCTTGCTGTACCAGGAAGCCATTTCACCCATCTGTCTGGGAAGATGATCTGACTCTGGCCCTTTTATCATCTATGTTTTCAGTAAGTTTCTTCTACTTCCCCTACTGTAATTACTTTTGAATCATCAACACACTCAGCCAACCTTAAAGCTCTGAGAAGAGAATGCTAAAACAAACATACAAATAAGTAAAAAAACACAACCCTGAAATGACAACAATTTCACTAAAAAAACCACTCAGGCTAGGAACAATCTGTTTTTTCCTAGAAATTTATTTATTAATAAATTGCCTTATACTTCTTCCCCTTATTCCAAAGGGAAGAGCGCCTAGAGATGAGGTGCTATGGATAGGGGAGATGGCAAGGAGGACCTAAAAGAGTGAATGAAAACATTTGCCCCCTACCACCACTTGAAAAAAAAGATGCAGGACTTGTTTGTAAATGATGAGGGACTCAGAACGTTGGTTTGCTGGTTGCCCAAGCAGCCCTGGAAGAAAGTATGCCTTCTCTGGAATGCAATCAAATTACATGGCACAGAAAAAGAGAGACCCATGGCTGCTGGCTTAAGAATTCAGATTCCTCCAAGGGATAAGTCTGAAGGGCAAGCCGCATAAGAAAAGGAAATGAAAAACGTAGCTCCAAGAAAATTCAAACAGCATCAACAACTAAACACTGTCAAGGAGCCAGCTGCTTTGCTTTCTGCTGTCATCTAGTCTCTTCCCTACCATTTGCCCTGATGGATGAACCGTCAAGCTCTGATTTGTAAGGTGTCCCTTCAGCAGTCCAGCTTTCCCTCACTCCTGGTGTGCTCTCCTCTCAGAGACGGTACCCTCCTGAGCCCCTACAGAAGACTGGATACAAGTCGGGAAGCACAGGGTTGTTCTTCCCCCTTCTCATCGACGCTACCAGTGTCTGGAATCCTTTCACACCCAAATCTCTTTAGCTTTGGGTCCCTTCCGGGGTGAGGTTGGAAGGAGAGTGAAGAGTCAGGAGTGAAGTTATCAATACCGAAAGCCTCACCTCCCGTCATTTGCCCTCAGAACAGCTGAGCATCCAGGAGAGGGGTGAAGCTGCAGCCTGGGTCACACAACCTGGTTAGCGATGCAGCCAGGGAGCAGGGACTCAGGGGCTTCGGAGGGGCTGAGATCTGAGTAGGCAAGGTTCTTCCCCTTCTCAGGAGAGGCTTATTTAAAGAAAAATCAGTGACAAAGAAAGCACACACTGCCCACCGCCCCCCGCCCCCGAATTTGGGAAGGCTGACACTACCAGCCCAGCTTCTTTGCCCCTAGGCAAGTTGAGGGGAGCTCCTTGGGGCCCTGCACCCCATGAATAAGTGATCTGCTGACTAATATTACTACCTGAGAGGATCTGGGGGAACACGGAGACCCCGCAGCTGGCCCCCCGACCAGACTCTAGGCCTCAAAGTGTTCCACTGCAGCACTAGCTCTTTATGCCCCGTTCTGAGGCGGGGGTGGGGTCCAGCGAAGGGCAGTAACTCCGAATTTGGTCCCAAGAGCGTGCTCTCCCCAGCTCAGGGCCAGGTGGCCTCAGTCCGGGAAGTTCTCCAGAAAAAAATGACGCTAGTCCTTACTACTCCCCGCGGAAATTCTGTCCGCTCTTTTATACACATTCCTCAAGGCCCGAAGAGGAACGTTGGGGGAGGGGGAAAGAGTTTCGGGGCCTCCACCATGACCAAACTCAAGAGAGATCCCACCCTCTGGCTCCAACCTTTCCCCAGCCCCGGGAGAGGCCTCAGCCTCACCCTGCTCGGATCCCCAAGCCCACCCCAGGAAGGGCACGCTCGCTAGCCCCCTCCCATCTCCACCTGATCCTCTGGAAGGCGGGGGGCCGCGAGCCGCTGCCCACAGAGAACTCGCTTTTTCTCTGCGCGATTCAGAAACACGCCGGGTGTGATGCCATCGGCGAATTATGTAACCAGGGACACCGCTCCCGGGCTAAACAAACGCGGCTCTGTGTGCAGAGACGGCCCCGGGGAAGTGCACCGGGGCTGGGAGGGGCTCAGGCCGGGCCTCGGGGTCGGGCTGGCTTGCTCAGCGAAAGCGGCAGGAGACGGCCGCACAAGAGCCCCGCGCCGCCAAGGTCCCGGGCCCAGCGCAGGGCCGCGGGCGTCCAGGTCAGGTCCACCAGGGCTCGGCCCCTCCCCCATCGCGGCCGCCCCCGCCTCCGGGTTGTGAACTTGGTCCCAAGTCTCGCCGGACACCGACACCGCCCGCTGCCAGGGCGACCTCGGGCTATAGAGGGGCCCCCGAAAAGTGCTGGATTCCAGTCCCGGCTCCATTCCAGCTCGGGACCCCACCGTCCCCTTCTCCACTCCTCAGTCTCAGGGCAGCGTGCGTTGTAGTGCGGAAAAGTGACGACCCACCCCCCCAACTCTGGAGGGGACAGGCGCGGGTGGACTCATGCTTCCAGAGCTACCCCTCAGTCTCTTTTCCCGGGGGGAGGGGGTGCAGGACGGAGTGACAGCTGCGCAGATGACGCCCCTCCCCCTCGGGCGCCCGGAGTCCGGGGCCCGCGCACCCCCTATGGGGGTCTGAGTATGCACCCGGATGCGGGGGTGGATGAACTGGGGGGTCCGGTCGGAATCGCCGGCTCTAAGCCTCGTGCGGTCGGCGGCCAGGACTCGGCTTCCGGGCTGTGTTAGCCCCCTTCCCGATCGGGGGCGACGCAAAGTTTTTGGAAGTTGCCTGCCCCTACCTTGCTTGGTAAGCACCAAGGCGTCTTCCCTCCGCGCCTGGGTGATGATGGAGCCGTGTTCCATCTAACAATCCCGCGGGCCCGGGCTGGCTGGGCGGGAGGACGGGCGGGCGCGCAGGCTGGGCTGGGCTGGGGGGCCTGGGCGGGGGCCCGCTCCGGCTCCTGCTCGCGAGACTCGGACTCCCACAGCTGTTCACATCCCTGCTCTTGTTCCCTCCCTGGGCCAGGAAGGGAGGCGGCCTGTACGGAGAGCGGGCGGCCCGGGCAGCAGCTTCCCCGGGTGCCCCTGGCCCCGATCCCCCGGCGGCAGCTCCGGGCTCCTCAGTTTGGGTCCAACATGGAGAATCCGGAGCGAAAACAAGAGGAGGAAATGGGACACGGGGCGGTTTCCAGGCTCCCCCCTCCCCTCCGTACTCCAGATAAACAACCCGCGGCTGCAGCGCCCACCCCCGCGCGCCTCCGGGCTCCGGACTCGGCCTCTCCACGGCCCACCGGCGCCTCGCGTTGCGGAGCACCGTTCTAGGCCCCGGGACCCTCTGTCAGTGAGCAGCCAAAGCTGCGGAACATCCGGAGCTTTGCTATTTCGTTACAGAAAAAGCGACTCCCCGAGGGGGGTGGGGTGGCGGGCGGGCAGGCTGGCAGGGGAGACTTGAAACTGCTCCGGCGCTCCAATTGGCCCTCTCGGAGAAAGGGGCGTGGCCCCTCCTTACTATGCGGTGCAAGGACCCAACAACATTCCTGTCGCTACGGCCACGCCCCCGGGCCACTCCCCTTTCTTCCGGCTGCTGCCTCCCAGTCTTTTCGGCCACACCCCCTTCCCAACAACTTAAAAGGACACTCCAAAGCTCATGTTTCCCTACTCTGTGCTAGGGTGTTCTGGTTTGTGTGTCTCTTCTCGGGTAACCAGGGCAAGCTGCGAAGCCTAACCCAGGTCTGCCCATGATGTGAGGGTTGAGGGCAGTTTTCTTCCTGCTTGGCTCTCGAATCGTAGACCCACTATTTCACATAAAAGAGGACAACCATCGAATCCTGAAAGACAGACGCGGAACTCCAGAGTATCAGCGCTGGAACAGACCTCGTGATGACTGATCCCCACTTCACATGAGACTTGAGGTGCAGGGATGTGCTCAAAGCCACTTGCTTGCATTCAGGGTTTCCACCTTTCTCCTCGTCCTCCAAACCCAGTCCTACCCGCTTCAATCCCCCCTGTCCCCCTAGTACCAGCCTCAGTTTAGATGGCTGGAGGTCTCTAAGGGAAAAGCTTCAGGTCCGTGCACTTTTGCTGGTCTCCCTCCTTGCTTTTAGGCCCCAGGCATCCTCGGCTGGCTGTGTCTCCTGGATTCTGATGGCTTAAGGTGAGGGATATACATTTGTCCCCAAGAAATAGAAACTTCAGCAAGTCAAGTTTCAGCTCTATATCAGGTCTTTGCCAATGAGCTACATCTGACCAAAGCTGACGTGCACTGCCTTGGGAGGAAGGGAACTGTTAAAGCCAAGGCTGGCAAGGGTGATGTAGAGTGAGATTGCACTGGGTGAATTCTGAGCTACTTCCAACCCCAAGGCTTGGATTCAGTTGAACTCTCGGTCCCAAGGAAGAGGCTTCCAGAAAGGTCAGGACTTTTCTGGTCCCAGGGGAATAAAGGTAGCTGATGGCCTTCATGCTGCAGTCCCCATTGCTTAACATGCACCAGGTGTCACAGAGGGTCAAAGGACAAGTAAGTCACCTCTTAACTTACCAGGTGCTATCAAATACCTGCTTCCTATGGGTGTATAAGTCTGTGTGCCTTACTAGTGCTCATGTATGCCTGTTCCTTCTGTTCCTACACACACATACACAAAACCTTTTTACATAACAGCATTTTAATGGAAATGCTGTTTTTCCAAAATGAAAGCTGTTACAGAAGATCTGAATGATGCTTATGTAACTTTAAACACTGAATTTGGGTAGATCCCAATTCATTAACAGAAGGAAAAAGGGAGAAATTCTCAGATATTTATTTACTTCCAATCATTATCAAAATAGCATTAAAACAATATAATTCTTAAGATAAATCTTCAATACTCAGTTTCTAGGGGGATCTTTTTGGGTCCTGCCCCCACCCTCTTGCAAGGCAGCTCAGTTGCAGAGAAGGATTACAGGCAGGAGCAGGAGGTTGAGGATTGAGAGGGACCTGCTACCCATAGCACTGTAGTGTTGGGCAGGACACTTTACATCTCTGCACTTCCCATTTCCTCATCCACAGAGGCAATCCCTCCCTAGTTTATAGTTTACAAAGTACTTTCACACATGTTACCTGTCTCGTCTTTGGGGTTGATGGGGAAATGTCCATTTTCTTGATGAGGAAATGGTGTGAAAAGGTTAATGGACTCACCTAAGGTCTCACGGCTTGTTAAGAATAGGCAGGACTAGCTATCGTTAGACTTTAAGACTAGAACTGTTGTCATTTAACACTAGTTCCTTTTCTATGTATAGGATGGAGGAGGTACTAAGAACTCTGACTGTATCAACTCTTCTGGAAAGCCCTTCCAGATACCTACTCTCACAACAGGGCTTTATAGCCCCCTACATAGTCTCTCAGAGCACTAAGCATCATGTCTTAACAACCGTTAATTTGCTTACTGGCTTCCCAACCAGTAGATGAGTTGAGACTAGAGACTGTATTATTCACTTATTAGTCTCCTGTGTCTAGCATAGTGCCTGACACAGAGCAGGCAGCCTTTATGTGTTTGCTGCGTGAATCTTGATTCTGTGTCTTAACCAGTGTTCTTTTGTCCAGGGATCAGTGACCCACAGCAAGAAACACATTTTATATTGTGAAAAAACTGAAATAGGTTTCATGGGGACAATACTTATCCTTGCTGTAGGCATGCACCCTGATATTCTCTATTGTATTTATTGTATTCTATTTCATTAAAAAAATTTTTTTAAAGGTTGTATTCATTTATTTTTGGAGAAAGGGGAAGGGAGGGAGAAAGAGAGGGAGAGAAGCATCAATATGTGGTTGTCTCTCACATGCCCTCAACTGGGGACCTGGCTGGCAACCCAGGTAGGTGCCCTGACTGGGAATCAAACCAGTGACCCTTTGGTTTGCAGGCTCCCGCTCAATCCACTGAGCCACACCTGCCAGGGCCTATTTCATTTTTTAAAAGGTGCTGGCCACAACCCTCTAAGTTGATTTCATGACCCACCTCCAGGTTGTGATCTACAGTTGGAAAAACAGCATTGCTCTTGTTGCCTGTTCGCTGTGGATACCTTCTGTGTGGGGGGCTGTACCTGTTCCTGGAAGGTAAAGAGGAGATGGCCCTCGACTACCTCTTGCTTAGAGGTCAAAAAGACGTTTACATATAAGAAAGCAGACAGAAACCCTTCCAAGACCACAGGCATGAGTCTGTGAATAGAACCCAGGATGGGAGTGGGGATGGAGTTGGGGTGGGGGTATTAGATAAGGGAAGGTCTGAGAGGCCTGGTGAGGACATTTGTACCTCCAGAAGCTATAAAGGCAGTGACAGCTTTACTGGAGCTTGCAACCCCAAAATGCAGATAGGCAGAGACTGTTGGTGCCATGTGCTTCTCACTGCCCTGTCTCCAGATTATGGGTCTCCAGAAGCTTTCTGGGGGTCATGATGGGCCTCTTAGTACAGCTAAGAAGGTCGGGGAGATGGGAGGCAAGTGGACATTCTAACTTCTGCCTAAAACAGTCTTGTAAATAACCTCCTGCCTCTCGGCCCTGGGGCAGTTGCTGGCTGTGTGACTTTGGGTAAGCTGGTTAATTAGGTTAGAGAGTTAAAGCTGAAGCCAGGGCTCTCTAGGCATAACAACTCTGCCAAGAGAAAGCTATAGACTCTCTGGTCACCTCCTCGCTCCATTCCTTTACCTCAGCTGATGAGAGGCAATTTGGAAATAGCACCCGCCACACCCCAGTGCAGGAAGTGGGGTGGTGAGGGTAGAGCTCATAGGAGTGGCAGTCCCTGTCTCCCATGGCTACTCAAGTTGGACTGGGTATTCCTGAGCCAAGGTTTGGGAAAGGGAGACAGAGCTGGAGAATCTTCTGTGGGAGTTGCATGTTTGCTTCAGAACTCTGACCCCTTCCCCACAGAAAACAAACACAGGATTGGGCTGATGGACATCTTCCATGATCTTATGATGTCATTGAAATGTTCCATTAAAATAAAAAAAATGTATTACAAACAGAACACATCCATTTTCTTGGTTTCTTTGTGCCTCAGAGTCTCACTTCCGTTTTATATTGTTATGGGGAAGGTGGGGTCTCAGCCCCAGGGTTCTGATCCCGGTGCCCTCCTGGCTCAAGGTTTCTGCAGTTCCATTCGGGCTGCTCAGGTCCTGGGGCTGAGGTGGGGTGGGTTGAGGGAAGGACACCCAGTGACAGCGACTAAATAGCTGTGGGAGTGCCAGATGCTGGGGCTGGGGAAGAAGGGAGAAGCCTGTGGAAGCGGGTATAAGCTTCTCTGTAGGTCAGCCTTGGGAACCTCATTGGGGCTTCAGACTTGGGGTAATGCATTCTGCGAGGTGCCGGCCTGCTCACCATCCCACCCCTGCCACTTAATTAACCTCTTGATTTAGTTTCCTCATATTAAAATGGGGCTAACAGTAGTGCCTATTTCATAGGTTACTGTATAGATTCAATGAGATAATATATCTCATTGAATGAGATAGTACCTGAAACCCTGAAAGTGCCCAATAAGTACCACTCTCATCATTAACCTTTCCTCCAAACCTGTCCCTTCTGCATCTACCATATGCCAAGTTCACCAAGCCAGAAACCTAAGGTCACCCAAGACTCTTCCCGCCCACTCACAACTACCCCAAATCTGTCCTGAAGATCAATGGCTCTTCCCCTCACAAGTATTTGTGTGGCAGTTTCATTCTTTCCATTTTCACTGCTGCTATCTCAGGGGAGGCTGGCCTCAGGCTCCTTATTAACCCCTTTCCTTCTCTAGGTCCCAAATCCAAATCCATCCCCAGCTGTCCTAGGAGATGCAAATCTGATACTGCCTATATGTCAGGGTTCAGCAGTTCCCCCAAGACTTTCAGGACCAAGCTCAGATGCCAGCTCTGGCTCTTGTTGGCTTACCAGCTCCTTGTCCTACCCCTTCCCCACAATTTACACCTTCTGTCTAGGGGACCTAAGCCGCTGGGAATCTTTGATGCCCTGTCGCCTCCACATTTTTAAGCACGCAGTTCTCTGCTGGGATGTACTTCCCATTCCTGTGTGATAACTTCTCACCCTTTAAAATATAATTCAGCCCTGCTGGTGTGGCTCAGTGGGTTGAGTAGCAGGCCTGTGAACTGAAAGTTTGCTGGTTCAGTTCCTGTTCAGGACACATGCTTGTATTGCGGGCCAAGTCCCAGGTTAGGGATTTGTGAGAGGCAACCCCGATTGATGTTTTTCTCA